TTTATATCAAATGGCAGGCGTTTTGATGGTTATCATTAGCCCTTTAGTTGACTACAGGCTTCACCGAGAGGATAAAGAACATCAAAGTGAAAAAAAATCGAGAGGGGGGGGGGCTGGGAGGAACAGAAGAGTGTTTCAAAGAGGAAGGTAGAAAAGGTGAAGTTAGTACTGTGGAAGTAGTCGAATATGACATACAGTGGGGTGATGGTAGTTTGAAGTCAGAAGTCAACTGCCCGTTAATGGACTTTTTTGCCGTATGAGTATACGTTATCCAGGGTGCACCACGTGGGGGTAAGTCTATCGCACACCCCTCCCTCTTGAATGTAATACACGGCCATTATATTGAAAAACCACTCATTCAGCACACATTTTACTTCTCTCTTTAAGATCTGTCCAAAACTGACGCCGTAAGATGGACTGCACCTGAGGCCATGGAACCTGATCACATCTTCGATATCCGTTCTGATGTCTGGTCGTTTGGAGTCCTTATGTTTGAGGTTTTCACCTATGGCGCGAAACCGTATGCAGGTATGTAATTAAATCAACTTGCTTATGTTGTGTAATACATAACATTTGTTTAGTCTTTTGAGTGAACAGTCACATCGACTAATCCTGTTCATTTACCAATGTACTTTATATGTGAGGGCTAAAGTTAGCTTTAAAGTTATCGGTGAGTTGTATACTTACAGAGCCACTTCCCTCGAATTATGTTACCATGATTAAGATAGCTGGTTGAGTAAATCTAGAACCTAAGGTAGATATTGTCTAATGCGATGAAATGGTAACTGTGAAGTCTGTATATTGTTCAAACATTTGGCTTTTTCTTGTTTTAAGCTTTTGTAAATGTTTAGGCATATAATATTAAAGCAGTCACACTGCCTTCTACATGAGTTATTGAAAAAATAATCCTAATTTCATCCATAAAAGGTGTTAAATTTCCAACTGTGTTTCTCTGTCAAATTTGCTTCTTTAATATATACTTTAATTTGTTTAAGCCAATAATTTAAATAACATTGGAAAAAGCAGTGGGTCATATTTCTCTGGTGGTATTCATGTATCGATTTATCTTTTCCAATTATTGATTGATTGAGTGCATCTGCAATTAATTCTGCAATTCCTCACCTTGGTAAATACTTATTTAAATATGCCTCGAATCCTTGAATGAATCTCAAACATCTATGTGTGCAAATCAGTTTTTTAAGAAATGTATCGATTGGTGAAATTGTGTTCCAATGAACTAAATATAGGGCAGTATTAAATGCCATTAACAGATTTTTTAATTGAGAAAAAATAACTGCATATTAGTGAGAGGAGGTGAATTATCTCGCGCAACGCGTTTGCAATTGCAGTGTTTTGCGCTCAGTTTGAATTATGATAAGTTTTGGAGTATGACGCATTGGTTTCTGTTGCACACCAAAATCACAAATGCTTAAATGTCATATTTAAGTGTTTAAGTTGAAAAAAATCACCATGTCACATTTATTCTTGCAGCCTAGATCAATATTTGCTTAAAATCTATTTTTACGCCAAAATTTAATTTCTAAATTGATATTAATGTGTGATATTCGTCTTTGATCTTATTTGTTGGGAGTGCAAAATTGTAATTTATTTAGCACTTTTACTTATGAATTCATTCGTTTTGGAATTTTGTGAAGTTTAAGCTTTGGCTGAATTTAATTGGAAGACTGTTGAGCTGAGGCCTTAGCTAGATGCCATTTTCTTACAGACGAAATTTCACAGCCATGTGCTTTCTTTCTGATGAAATTTTATATCCCAGTTCTAGTTATTTCCCAGGAATGAGTCTTCTTATCTATGCATTTTGTGATTACAGAGCAGTTTAATGGGTGAAAGTGATGATTTGCAATTTGTCTTAACATTCATGCAATCCTATCTACTGACTTGCCTTTCAATAATTCTGAGATTCCGATATTTCAAATTCCATACATTTCGAATATTTATTAAGGCAGGCGATTTGCGTCACAAACGATTTTCGACTCAGCATTTTCCACCAATTGAGCCACGAGATGTCTTAAACCACGCAGACGTCTTTGTTAATATGTTCCACTTTGAAGAAATTGGTTTAGAGATATTAGTAACTGTGGCTGCCATAGATACGATGATGGGGAAATGAATAGTAATTTTTAAAGTTAGTTAATTTAATGATCAACCGGAAGGGGATTTATTCGAAATTTGATGAGCGATTTCATGAAAGTTACAGAATCTAAGGCTTTGGGTTTTGTATAACAGTTCTTGGTAATTTCTGAGGGATATATATCTTTTTCGTAACCCTCCACAATCCCCGTATTCAAACCAATGACCCTAATGCGTCATAATATTTTAATAAAGTGCCGGGGATCTTCAACGATTTTTCCCCTTAAAATCAAATTTAAGCGCAATATAATTGTGCATATGATTAGTTGAAAATGGTTTGAAAATGAGTGGTTCCACGTGGTTGTGAATTCGCAAGAACGCAATTATGAAGTCACAAATGAAAACTCTAGTCTAATTGCCGTTAACAAAAACGCCTATTAGTCACTGTTCATACTGCGCAAAAGGGGTTTCGAGAAAGAACCCACGTACTAACGAAAAGTTAATGACTCTAACACCGATTCCTGTTGAATTGTCAAATATTTGAGGTTTTCTCACTGCGCAATTGTTCTTCCATTTATCTGTTGTTTTAATGCTAGTGAAAGCGCTGTTTTTCCTTGGTAACTATTTAGGAGACAGTTAATCTATAGTTTATTCCAATTCCCAATGCACCAACACGGATTTGGCCGTTTACAGAAGCATTTCGAACTCTCCATACTCTACCTTAATTCAAATTTGGGAAACATGATATTTGAAGAAAAGGTGAGACAATATTGCAGTCTCTTTTGTTGGTAACTCGAATTAGATTTGGCGAAAAAACTTTCTGGAATCAGGTACCAAGACCGTACTTCTGAAATGCATCCAGGGTTACACAAAAGGTTCATTAACTGGGTAGGCTCATTATGTCAAAAACGTTTCTAGATCGTTGATTTCATAAAGCGTGAAGGTGGCTATGTGGCTGCACACACAGAATAAATACCAACCATTGTAGCATATGGCTTAATTGTCTAAGAAAACTTATCGAATTTGAAGACTAAAGAAGTCTAAGTTATAAATACTTTTCAAACTTGACTTGGGTAGAGAGAAGGCTTGCATTGATTCGTTCGCTGCCTTCCTTACCTCCTATTGTCTGTAACTGGGCCACTGGGCCATCAGATGTGGACTAATGGGCATCGAACCTCGGTGGTCTCGAGGTCGCTCCAATTACGCTTTCATATTGCAATGCGATGATGGACTTTCAAATTCACGATTTACCATGCTAAATAACTTTATTTCTGGATGTTAAAATTCCAATAATAACTTCACTCGCGGTGTAGCAAATATGCGGAGCACAGTTGTGTGGAAATATTTGATCGAAGCCGGGCTTGAAGTCTCTAGAAGGTTTAAATTTTAATATTTGGCTCCTAAATGGTTAAGTAAATCGTTTCTTTTTTCTGGAAAATCTGATTATTATTTACTTTTATATTTAGATGAACAGAATTTTGTGCTATTTGTTTTCTATTAATGTACCCATTTTTATTCAATCAACCCGGGTTATGCTAATGCCAGTTGGGTTAACAAATTGTCATCTCATTGTCAGTCTGTGCCTATTTCCCCCATTATATCTGGAAGCAAATTCAATGCATTCCATTTTTTCACTAACTTCAATGATAACGTTCAGCTAAATGAGTTAACTAAAACGTGTACATTTCACGTGGTTCATCTCGTTACGTTTTGTTGTTTTTATTGCAGAAATTAATACTAAAGACATTCCACAACGCGTAAAGAACGGCTGTCGCCTTCCGAACCCCAGGAATTTGGGGTTCGACTGTGAATACCAAATGTACGATATAATGAAGAGCTGTTGGTTTATCGATACAACAGATCGTCCCACTTTCCGCGAACTTTGGTTTAATTTCGATGACAATATACCTAAAAATACTGAATATGCGGATTTCGATTAGTGGAATTCAATGGTGCCTACGTAAATATCTCTATTTAACTTCAGCCTTGTATTTTTGACAAAGATATCAATTTTTTGCATTAAAATATACACCCATATTTATGTTTGTATGTGAGCGAAAACCCGATAAGGGTTTTTATCATGGCATTTTGTGGTAATAACGTTTACATTTTTATTAGCTTGTTTTTTGGGGTGAAAATTTTACTAATCTCGAGTTGAACGTAGATTGTACTTACCCATACCGTTACTTTAAATAATCCGAACTTGCATTTTTTATTAGTAAAACAGGATAGTTGAAGAGTACCTCTTATCCACACTTAGAGATGGATGATGGTAGTGTTGGTGATGTTTAATTTTGAAACAAAAATAGCTAATTCACGAATATTTTCATAATAATAATAATAATCTGCCAAAAAGAAAGGAAATAAAGCGACTATGATATTTACCTTTATTCTTTGAAACACTGTGGAGGTATCAATCATTCTCTTAAGATGTTTTTGTACTTGACACTTTAAGTGAATTATCAAGTGCATCTATAGTATTATATTCCAAGACTGGGGTGTGCGATAGACTTACCTCCACGTGGTGCACCCTGGACAACGTATATTCATACGGCAAAAAAGTCTATTAACTGGCAGTTGACTTCTCACTTCAAACTACCCTCACCCCATTGTATGTCATATTCGACTACTTCCACAGTACTCACCTCACCTTTTTCTACCTTCGTCTTTGAAGCACTCTTCTGTTCCCCCCCCCCTCTCGACTTTTTTTCCCACTTTGATGTTCCTTCCCCTATGTGAAGACTGAAGTCAACTAAAGGGCTAATGATAACCATCAAGACGCCTGCCATTTGATATAAATAAATAAATATTCCAAGACTGAGTTTTTTGGAAGCTTTGAAAGGGCTGCTCTCAATCTATAATTATTTTCACCATTTTCGAGAATATTTATCTGTTCACTTGAAGAGTAAGTTAAAGAGGGTTGATTTCAGTAACGGACGATTGGCTATAATTCATGGTTAATTTAAATGCCTATTTCGTCCGATA